TAAATGGACAAAATGAATCTATGGACGGATTGCCAACAGATATTAGTAGTGGTGATATTCCGTTTTTTAAGTTTGCACCAATCAGTTCTGTTGACGTGGAACGTTCCTTTTCAAAGTATAAAAATATTTTGGCTGATAACAGGAGGTCATTCGAATTTTCCAACTTGAAAAAATATCTCATAGTTCAATGTAATGCTCAAGGTAATGAATACAATATTAATTAAAACAATTTACAAACATGTTTAATTTAAAAAGTATTTTTTTTTATTTTAGACTAGAACTCGGGTGTTAGAAGAAAATCAATTATTTATTATGACAAGTTTTTTTACTATAAATTAAAATTTTATTAATTATGTATTCATATTAAAATAAAAAGGTTTTTATTAAATACTGTTATTTTTTTTTTTTAGTGCATATTTTAATAGCATATTTGGTAATTTTTAAAGGCATAAATGCATACATATTTTAAGGTTTTTTAGGGAATGAAGTCCCTAGCCCTACTCATAACTATCATTGTTATCGTAGTTACCAATCAAAGTCGATCCTACACAATCTCTAATACTCGCTAATATCTTTAAATCTAAAATTAATTTTCAACGAAGTCAGAAATCGGCGATTCCCACAAACCTTATCGCGTAATATTGAACTATTATGAAATATATGTGTGTATCTAACATAATACAATTTGAAAACATTACATTATCATTTATCATTGTTATACTATTATATTTGCTATAATAATGTATAATTTAATGAAAAAAAAATTGTTTGAGGGGAGGGGGGATTAAGCCCCAAATCCCCCCTGGGGTGCGCCATTGCTTAAAATACATAATTGAATTTTAAAATACTAGCAGTATGCAACACCAATGAAAGTGGATCGTCGTGAATGCAAAAAAACGTGTAGCTTTCATATCCAAAATAATGAAAACATTGGAAACATTAATAAATATTATGATAATATGATGTTTTAAAATTAAACAACAAATGTCATTGAACTTTCTATCAATATATTATTAAAATAATAGACTATGAGCATTTAATACGAATTCACATTAACATAAACATAACCGATGTGATTATTTCACCATCAACATGAAGTATATATAATATTATTACATTTTATGTAAAAAAAACATAAAAATTTAAAATCACAAAAACGCAAATTTGAAAATAAAGTTCGGTTTTTCGATTTACAATAAAGTATTGAATAGCATTATTTTTGTGCAGGTTCAATATTAATTATGTAAAATTTAGTGTTGACGGAAGTTATTATAGAAAACAATACAGCTGCAAACTGCAATTATGGCGAACAAAATATGTTCTATTGTGCATCGGAGATAACTATTATAGGTATAGATACTGGACTTGATTTAATATAAACACTGAAGTCATACATAGTAGAAATAGTTTACAAGTAAAACGTTTTTGGTTTTACGTGTCTGGGATAAGTAATAAGATGAAAGCGTCATTATTCTTGTTATGTACGATCTGAACGGTTTTATAGGTTATAATTGCTTACTTATTTTTATATAATTATTTAAATACTCTTAATACAAATGTTTTACACAAAAATTAATTCATTTTTCATTTTATAAAATCATATGAAATATATTTTGTAAGCCAGTTGTATAATATAAAGTAGATAATATTATCTTGCTGAAGCCCTGATGGGGTCTTTCCCTCAATCTCGAAATGCATCCGAGGTACAGCAATTAACCAACCAATTTTCGTAAAGTGATAGAAAAGTGAATCTAGTTGGTAGTAAAAGTACCTTTTAAAAAGAGGTACAAATCTATTTTTTTTTTAAAGCGTCTTGAAAACAAGAAAATCGGTGAAAAAAATCTAATCATTTTTGAAAAAATTGAATTAATTTTTTTAGTGTAACTCGAAAAACTAATAAATGAAATTAGGAAATAATTTTCTAAATAATATGTTGATTATCATTTTAAGCTATTTATAGCTTTGAGAAAATTTTCAAATGTTGTAAACTTTTTTAAAAATTATTCTGGAAACAGAAATTATTATTTCTTTACAAAATACAAATGCAGGTATCAAATTTATTGAAATTTGTATGGATTTTCCAAAAGTTTACATGAGTAAATTGTAAAAAGTATTATTGTTTCGTTTTATGACTTAATGTACGGGCTAGGATATCCGGTATACACCATGCAGTGCAGTCGGCAGTCTCGCAGACGCCAATATACGACAATACGCCATATTATACGAATCGTGTACACTCAATACTACAATTAATGATATCTTATGATACCAATAATATAATAGTTTATGCAGAACCGAATCGAAAACCATTATAAAAACATAAAGTATACTTAGTAATATAGGCTAGATCACAAGTCATCATCCGGACTGTGGAATTTTAAAATGTTGGTATCTATGTTTAAAACCAAGGGAAATAAACACTTCATTTTTTTAGATTTAATTATCTACATTGATTTTTATGTTTTTATTACAATGAATTGTCATTACTTCGCCAAACAATAAAATTTGGTACTCGTAGTTGGCTTGGAGTGGTTTTCAGCTTTATTTACAAACGTCTTTTGAACCATCCGGGTTCTTAGAGTCGAATCCTTGCCATACATACATACACGTGTTCTAAACTAACAGTAACCTCCTGCACAGAAAAGTCCGGCTAAAAACCATGCAGTTGATGCCATAAAAAAAATAAAAAATAAAATTAAGTATCCAGATAATTTAAAATGTCCAATATAATATTAATAGATACGTTTTTTTTTTATTATTCAAATGTATTCAATCCATACTGCATTTTTTTAAAGTAATTTGTTTAATGATAAATAATATTAACTATAAGGTTATAAAATATATGTGTGTGCATTATAATTTAATTTATAGTCTTTTAAAACCTAAAAACTAAATAGTTATCTTTTACTATCTAAATAAAAAGGAGGGTGTCTTTTCTTTTATATAGATAATTTTTCATTCAATTGTCTGCTATCTTATCTAGATAAATTTAAACGCATTAGCTGTTATCTTATCTAACAAATTTTAAAAATATCCGTGCATAACAGTGGGTGGCCAGGATCACAAACCGTATTTTGTAGAAAACACACAACGTATAACAATTTTATAAGAATTTTAGCTTTTTTTATAGACTAACACAATAAATCATGTACCTAGTAACCTACCATATTATTTATCACCACTACCTATAGGCTATAGGTTATATTATAGAAATAATACAATATAACAGGAATCCTTCATGCTAGCTGTACGTCACCTGTACAGTGTACATGGCCACAAGAGAATATTATTTGGTCATATTAAACACTATTTCACAATAAATTACTTATATATACCCCGGTGACATTGCCTTCCTCATCCAAAATAAAATTGACGAAGCTAAACAAAAAAAAAAAAACATATTATACTAACTTGGATTCCAGGGCATACCGGTATCTCAGGTAACGAAACTGCGGATACATATGCTAATATGGCCATCTCCGACAAGAACACGCCATTACTAGACTTCATCACCTACGACGACTTTAAAAACTCATTGAAAACATATATAAGAAAAAAATGGCACATATCTTGGAATAGACAGACTACTAAATTAAACCAGATCAAGTCAACAACCTTCAGATGGGATAATCCCAACCTCAATCGAAAAGAAGAAACCGCTTTAAATCGTTTAAGAATAGGACACCCTAGACTTACCCATGGATATCTCATGTCTAATGACGAACCCCCCTTCTGTGAAGCCTGTGGCCAACACCTCACCGACAAACACATCTTGACCGAATGTCATGTTTACGACCAGGACCTCAACTTAACCGAAACCCTCGACTCAACTCTCGGACCACAACCCGATCAGAACGAAAAAACGCTTAAATTTCTTAAACTAACTAATTTAATTAACAAAATATAATTGTATCTATGAACACTATGTATATAATCTAAATTGTTATTAAGTATTGTGAACAAATGGCCTTTGCTGGCGAGTTGTTTTTTTAAGATAAATAAAAAAAAAATTACTTATAATAGTTTTATATTGCATTTTAGCACAAATGTAAACCACAGAGCAGTCAAATATTAATTTATCGTGAAGTGACGATCAGAAAGGTTAGGTTAGGTTAGAAGGTAAATACTAAATATCCAAATATCCAAATATTCTATATTATCAATTAATTGTATATGAATTTATGGATATTATGAATTATTTATTTCCATTTGACCATAATTTTATTATAATTATAATAGTATTGATAACAGTTTAATTAAGTATCATAATATAGCAAACGTTAATTTATACAGTATGTACCTCTTCTTATTATACGTACCTATCACAATGGTGGTAACTTGTATTGAAATGTGTTCATGATAAATAGGTACCAAAATTTTGTTTTTAGGAGTAGGAAGGTAATAGCTATAATGTACAAGAAGTCATTTCCCCTTACAAACATGGACAAACTATGCCACATTAAGTAAGTGAAACAAAAATGTCACATTTTTCATTATATTTTACAATAGATTTTGTTATTATTGTGTATAATGTTTAAGCTAAAATGTGCAATTATGTAAACTACAGTTTAGTTACAACAAAACAATTTAGCAGACTTTAATTATAACGAACACGTGTTCTGTTGTAAAATACCTAAATCTTTATGTTATAAACATATATAAAGGACACAGAAAGAATACAATAAACCTATAAGTAAATTATTTATTTAGGAGACATAGGTATTTTTTGGGTTTCCTGGTTAAAAATGCAAACATTATTCGTACTATGAACGGCTGTAACAGTTTTACAGGTTTGTTATTATTTGGATTAATTTTTTAAAGTTAATTTTATGTTGATAATTATTAACTGCACATAATTAAATGTGTTTACTAGGTAATATGATTCACTAACGCCTAAATATTTACTGACACCTAATTTTAAACTATTAATTTTTGATAAGTTTTGTCCATAGTTTTTTTTACACAAAACTAAAAATAAGTTCAAATTTTAGTTCCTGAGTGGAGAGATGAATTTAATAGTTTTACAATGGTATGTGTTTTTTTAAAAATAATTTTCAACTTTTATGTGGTTTTTTGGAGAACAAATATATGCAGTTGTTACTAAGAAGGCGTATATAGTAAAATATTTTCAGTACTTTTCAAAATAATTAGAAAAAAATAAAAAAACGATTTGGGAAAGTGTGAATTTTCGATCCCTTTTCATCTTGAAGCAGTAATTTAAAAATTAATAACAGTAGGTATCTTATTTTATGCTCAGATATTCACATACAAATTTTTTAGAAATTAGATAACTTTCCAAATGTTTTAGTTTTTTCATGCTATTTATAAATTTTAAATTTTTTAAAATTGCAATGGTTTATTTTAGCGATTAAAAAAACCTGAACAATTAATTAAAGGTTCCTCTTGATTGTTTTTACAGAAACCTAAAAACCCAAAACCTACATAAGTATGTGAAATTTTTTATATACATTTTAAGTTTAAATTTTGGCTGTTTTTAATTATTTCTTATTTCAAAATCCTAAAATCTTTTCATTATTTAAGGTACTTACAATAACTTTAGTCAAAGTGAGACGATTCTTCGGTGTGAATTGTTTTGTTTTCGTTGTGTTTCATTACGATGTTAAAATTCGATCTCATATCTACTGCCTAATGAGATTGTAAATGTATTTCAAATGGTACATGATGATGTATAGTTTCTTTTAATTAAAGCGACTGGCATGGGTGACTGTGTCAGTCTTACAAAATGTGCATTGAAATATTATCGTACATGCTAAAAACAGTAATTTATTATGTACATACCTAACATTATAAATATTTATGTAATTATAATATTCATGTATAATATTTTGAAATAAATACTGAACTAAATAAAACAATGTTCTAGATTTTTGATGTATCCGTCACGGGACCTGCAGTAAGCGCGGTAAATTTAAATTTAAAAAGAAATTACGAAAATAAAATTGCTAAGACTTAAACATCATTGTTTTCACTTGAAAAATAATTTGAAAATGTTGGAACCAGCTATTATAGTTTATTTAATTGAGCAATTTTCTACAATACACCAAACTAGGTGATTATTATAGAAGAAATAAGTCCAAATTTTAATAAGCGCCAAAGGTGTTCAAATTACATATCGTTTTCCCTAGAATCAGTAGGACATACTTGCTAACACAAAATTATCTTCATAACTCAACATCCTATATGACCATGGGTGTAGACACGGAGGATATGATTGATGGATCCATGGGCATGACTATTTTTAAAATTTTGAGCGGAGAGATGAATGTATTGATTTTACAATGATGAGTGCTTTTTACCATCATCGCCTTTTGGGGCAGTGAAAATGTTTCGATTTTCTACATCAGCGTATTTCTTGATAGAAAAGTGGATGAAGTTGATACTTTGAAGTAGTCAAAATTAGATGCTATTTCGATTAACTTTAAAATGAATTGGAAGTATGAATCCTGCTGCTTATCAACTCACAAAGCATACCTTAAGTTTCATTTTTTATCATATCCACATAATATTCATCAGCCGTTGAAACACTAACAAAAAAAAAACACAAGTCATTGTAAAATCAATACATTCATTACTTAGCCCAGAATCGAAAAGTATGGAAATGAAAAATGTTTAACAAACTTCATGTGGCAACTTATTTTCTGAAATTTTTTTATTAAAATACATTGTATCAATAAAAATCGCATTATTTTTATTTTTATATTTTGAATTTTTAGGCTACCTGTTCTAAACGTTCTCCTCCTGGAGTCCAAATTATTGCAACATGTAAAGGAAAGACATCTATAAAACCAAAAAAAGATAATGTGAAAGAAGAAACCCCAGAACAAGAACTATCAAGAAAAACAAGAGAATTTCAAAAAGAAAGGAGAGAAGCATACTTAGCTGGGAAACCTTATAAAACAGCTACCTACAAAATTGGTGGCGAAGATGAGGCCGTTGTTAAAAAAGCGTCAGGAGGAGCCATGCTATGGAATGGGTATGGTAAAATCGGTAGAACTATTCAAAAACCAAAAAAACATCACAACAAGAAGTCTACTAATAAAAATAGAAGTCATGGAGAAAATGCTGATGATGGTAAAGAAGAAGACGAAGGAGACAAAGAAGAAGTTCTAACAGGAAAAGTAAGGGAATTTGAAAAAGAAAGGAGAGAAGCATACTTAGCTGGGAAACCTTATAAAACAGCTACCTACAAAATTGGTGGCGAAGATGAGGCCGTTGTTAAAAAAGCGTCAGGAGGAGCCATGCTATGGAATGGGTATGGTAAAATCGGTAGAACTATTCAAAAACCAAAAAAACATCACAACAAGAAGTCTACTAATAAAAATAGAAGTCATGGAGAAAATGCTGATGATGGTAAAGAAGAAGACGAAGGAGACAAAGAAGAAGTTCTAGCAGGAAAAGTAAGGGAATTTGAAAAAGAAAGGAGAGAAGCATACTTAGCTGGGAAACCTTATAAAACAGCCACCTACGAAATTGGTGGCGAAGATGAGGCCGTTGTTAAAAAAATATCAGGAGGAGCCATGCCATGGAATAGGTACAGTACAATCAGTAGAACTATTCAAAAACCAAAAACAAGTTGCAACAGTCAGTCTACTACTAGTAATATAAGTCATGGAGAAGATGCTGATGATGGTAAAGAAGAAGATGAAGAAGACAAAGAAGGAGTTCTAGCAAAAAAAGTAAGGAGAGAAGCATACTTAGCTGGGAAACCCTATAAAACAGCTACCTACGAAATTAGTGACGAAGATGAGGCCGTTGTTAAAAAAGCATCAGGAGGAGCCATGCCATGGAATGGGTATGGTAAAATCGGTAGAACTATTCAAAAACCAAAAACAAGTGGCAACAGTCAGTCTGCTACTAGTAATATAAGTCATGGAGAAGATGCTGATGTAAGTAAAGAAGAAGACGAAGAAGACAAAGAAGAAGTTCTAGCAAAAAAAGTAAGGAGAGAAGCACACTTAGCTGGGAAACCCTATAAAACTGCTACCTACGAAATTAGTGACGAAGATGAGGCCGTTGTTAAAAAAGTATCAGGAGGAGACGTGCAATGGAATTATAGGTATGGTACAAAAGGTAGAAATGAAGCAAAAACATCTTGCAACAATAAGTCTACTAATAGAAATAGAAGTAATAATAAGAAGGTTGCTAATAATAAGAATGCGAGAGGATATTTGAGAAGGACTGTGAAACCTAATAAAAGTAGGATAACGTGGTGGTAGACGATTCAGATGTACCAAATGTAACTAAGCATACAATATTTGATATTTGAAAAATCAGATTGTTAACATTGAAATCACCTTGTATTATATGAATAACTCTAAACTTAAATAAATGTATGGAATGAATATACCAGAAATGAACATATTTGGTGGTGAAAAGCAAGTATAACTTTTTTTGGTACATTCATTTTATTCACAAGTCACAAAAACTTGTCGTTTTCATTTATTGCACTTCCTAAACGATCCTTCAATAACAATAACTTATTTTAAAAGGTTAACATTATTGACTACATAATAATGTTTTAACAATCCAATCCACTTAATAAATAACACTTAAATAACACCTCAATTTATAATATGTATACCTTTCTCGTCGTAGGCGCTGTTTGAAAGTTCATACTGCCTCTCCTAGATCTCGAGTTACCAGAGTATATTTGCAGTTTACGTAGATACTCGAGCTTTGGACCAGACAGAGTTATCTTTTCTGTTTTTCGACTCTACTCCTCTTATAAAAGGATTAAGCCTCAAATATAATATAAGAAATCAGAAACAATGTAAAATAAAATGCGTACATTTTTCTATATTTTATTTTGTTAAGTCGAATATTGTTATACTTAAACGTTCAATACCTAGTGTGTTATTCAGGAATAATTATAAACAATCAGGTCTCCAAAGAAAACATAGGATCATAATCACAAAAATAATTAACGAACATATGAAAAACCATTTTTCTTTTCATTGTAATACAATAATAGGAAACATGGTGTGTGTACCTGGACTTGTTAAAATAATATAAAATACTCGCTGATCCCGTGCACTTTGTGTTAAAAATGGCAACTCTATACGAGACTCGATGGTGATAATGCGAGCAACATAGTATGCCAACCTGCTGTGGATCGTGGACCTCGCTTGATGAGTACTTTATATAAATAACATGTTTTATTTTTATTGTGGGCACGCCGATGAACGATGCTATAAGTGCAACTCAGCTACCCTGGTAGGCAATGTGCGAATTGTATGCATGCTTATACCTGATCTGCCCGATGAACCACTGCAGGCAACCAATAAATAAAGAAAAACACCAATTTTTACTAAATATTATATTTATATTTCTCCTATGACCAATAGCAACCGTATATTATAAACGAATATTTCCTTCGTGAATCTTAAAATCCCTGTTTGATCAACTCCCCGGATCGGACCTGTTGGATCCAATAGTGAATCTAAACCATCCAGAGCTTCACCCAAACGCATAAACCTATTATGTTAAGTGACATACACACGTACAGTAGAATTATGTAAATAAAGAAGATATTGTAGTTAAGAACAAAATGTTATTGCGATTTTGGTATTATAAGATACAACATTTAATTAGGTATATTATATTTAATGATTTTGATGTCACCGACTAACGGCCATACATTTGAACAATTTATTAAAAATAATTAAATTTATTAGAGCAAATTCAATTATTTAAATGTTTTAAATAAATTGGTTAATTATGACACTGTTCATCTAAATAAGTTCGGGGGCAGTGGATTACTCAGTCAAACATAATACATTAACCGACATGCCTGAAGTTTGAAAATGCAAGAAATAAACACCACATATTATCAAATCTACCAGGAGAAGCAATACAACCAAACCTACAACCAAGATCGTAATTTTTCGTGAGTGGTTTTGTTAGGATTGTAAAAATCGTTAAGTGGCATTGGATAAAACATGATAATTCAATTGAATTAATTTAACAAACATTTGAACGAAACACTCAAACCCGTCGTGACAAATGAACGCGACTGCAATTGAAATACTTTTAATACAAATGACTGCATTGATTGAATCAATGATATAAAAAAAAAAAACAATATTTAACAACGAAACCCATTATATTTAATTGAACATTTTGTGGGGGTGTGTCAGGTTCGAAAAAAAGGAGAGCTTAAAAGTCATTTTTATATTGGCTCCATGTGCAAAACTATAATTATTATTATTTATTAATAATAAATGGACAAAAAAAACTTAAAAACTCATACCATCTCATATTAAGTCTCATAAAACTGATATTGTTATACGATGGTCCAAGTGAATTATGCAAAAAAAAACCAATAAAGTGTAACAGAATTATTGAAATTTGTATTCATGCATACCTAGTATTAATAGTTACACCGAATCTATATCGAGGTAAAAAAAAAAGTCAATATTATAATATTATAAAGATCTCAACGGTCGCGAATTTTATGATACTGTGCACTAAAATATATTTATCAAAAACCTTAAAATGTGCAAAACATATTATACTGAATACAATATTTTGGATATTTTAGATTCTCCTATTCTCATTCCAAATAAGATTTTTATTCGACCCTCATAATTATTTAAGTATCGAAAACACATTTGCAAAATATGGAAGATGTCCATAAACTTGCAGTTACCACTTACCATTTCAGTCATTGCGTTTTTTATTGAAACATATTTTCTAATCCAAATTTTGTTAGGAAAATCATCGGTGGCACTATTTTTTTTGAAAACTTACATGTAGGTACTTATATAGGTACCTATAATAATATATGGTACGTTAATTCGAAATCATTTTTATTTGAGTTTAAAATTTTAAATGTTGATAACGTCGATAAGTGTACTATAACATCGAGCCAATTAAAAATGTTTATCAGGTTTGTAATACATTCTTACATAAAACAACCATTTTCCATACCACAGCGGTGTGTTTACGAGGGGGGGATTTGAGTGTCATATAGCCCACTCTCTCATCTAACTTTTTTTTTTAATTCTGGCGCAATTATGTACCTACCTACCTTCTTATTTAACATCACTATAGGTCCTTTTATAAAAATAACAGTATGGAACTCGAATGTTAGTTGTATAACGTCCCGTTGCGATATCTCCTGAAATAATGGAGGTATAATAATTCTGGTTTGTTATTAAGACCCACGGGGACAAGCACTACAAATAATTCATGTTTTAATATTTTTTTTAATGTTTTGGTAAAAAAGTTTAAAAAATATATACTTTAAACTAATTATTTGAAAAAAAAATGAAGTTAGCCATTTTTTAGAGTTCATTTTTCTAAAAATATTGACGTTTTAAGAAAAACAGCGAATCATTTGTAACGTCCGTCCTACCGTAGTCGTATTTTTGAATATGGTCATAGTCCACAACACTACTCTAATGGTAGGACTGTGTCAAATAATTCGCGATTTTTCTCAAAACTAGAAAAATTATTAAAAATCAGGAGATTAATGAAATTAAAATGTTGAAACGTCAATATTTTTAGAAAAATGAACTCTACAAAATGGCTACCTTCATTTTTTTTTTTAAATAATTAGTTTGAAGTATATAATATTTTCTAACTTTTTTACCAAAACATTAAAAAAAAATTAAAACATGAATTATTTGTAGTGCTTGTCCCCGTGAGTCTTAATAAAAAACCAGAATTATTATATCTACATTATTTCAGGAGATATCGCAATGGATAGACCCTCACGGGGCACCCTGTGTAATATTATTACTTCGTACTTTTTTTTTAAAAACTTTGTTATTACAATTTGTTTGAACAGTTAAGTATTAACAAGCAAGATCGAAACATAAGTAATCAGATGTAAAATTGTATAAATTACTTCGTTTTAAACACTATTTCACAACATGATCAATAATGTTTTGTATTTTTTATTGAATTGTGGTACAAGAATAAACAACTGAGCGGTCAAGTATTATTTTAAAAGCGGAGGGATGTATCATTTGTTTCCATTTGTGCATAACTTTACTAAAATAATAAAAGTATTGATAACAGTTTATTTAAATATTATAATATATTATGCGCTTATTTATGCATATATTTAGTACCTATTTATATTTTACATACCTATCACACTGGGCAAAACTTGTATTGAGAAGTGATCATATGATAGAATGGTACATAGGTAAGTACCGACTTACATATTTTGGGGACTAATAGGTAAAATGTAGAAAACGCCATCCCCCTTTAGAAACATTGCCAAATTACTCAACTTTAAGTAGGTATGTGAAACAAATATTACACATTTTTCATTATATTTTACAATAGATTATTTGTTATTATTGTGCATTGTTTGTATAAGCTATAATGTGCAATTATGTAAACTACAGTTTGGTAATTTTAGTTACAACAAAACAATTTAGCAGACTTTAATTACGACGAACACGTGTTCGGTTGTATATTAGCGAAACTTAATGTTTTAAATATGATATATAAAGGACACAGAAAAATAAAAATATATAGGTACATTATTTATTTAGGAGACATAGGTAGTTTAAGTTTTCCTGGTAAAAAATGAGGACTTTATTCATAATATGCACGGCTCTAACACTCTTACAGGTTTGTTAAAATTTAAATTTATATTTTATAGGTTGATAATTATTAATTACGTACGATTAAATTTTTTTCATTACCATTAACTGATATCTAATTGACCGAAACATTATTTTTAATCATTTATTCACAATAAATTTTGTAGTCTGGACACTTTTATTTGTTTAATGAACAAAATACTGAACATGTATAAATTTGAGTTTTTAGATTTTGAGTGGAGCGATATTTTATTAGTTCTACAATGTGTGTTTTTATAAATAATTTTCAATTTTTAGGTGGTTTCCTAGGATCAAATTAGATCTTACTGAGAAGAGGTGAATAGTAAAATATTCTCAATACATTTCAAAATAGGTAATTAGGAAACACAAAAAAAATGATTTGAAAAAGTGGAAATTTCCAAAGTAGATATTTTAATTTATAATTAAATATTCACATACACATTTTCTATATAAAAGTTCTTGATATGCCATTCTTAAATATTTGAATGTTTTTAAATTTTAGTAGGTAGTTTATTTAAGCGCATAAAAAAAGTGAAAAATTACCTCAATTCAATGTTCCTCGTACGTTGTTGTTACAGAAACCAAAAAATCTAAAACCTCCATAAGTAATACGTATGTACAATGTACAATTAAAAACCATTATACACACATTTCAAGTTCAAATAATTTTAACGTGATTGGATATTTTTATATTTTTTTTTTATTCCAAAAATCCTATAATGATAGGTGAGGTGAATCTTTAAAATGAAATGTATTGTTTTATGATTTTTAAATTTGGTCTCAAAGTTAAGTTCGACCGAGAATTTAAATTTATTTCGAATGATTTATGGTGTATCGTTTTTTTTTTAATTGTAGCAACTGTGTGTGTCGGTGTCCACAACATTAAGTACACAGAGCTATTAAAATATATAAGTACTTATGTTGTAAATATTAAATATGCGCCTAACATTATAAATTAAAAAAATATTTGTAATATTGTATTTTAATAACTAATAAGTACTGAACTAAATAAGTAAATATGTTTTAGATTTTTGATGTATCCATCAAGGGAGTTTTATCAGCTGGCGAAAAGGTAAATATAAACTAAAAAAATAAAGTTACTAAGACTGAAAACATTATTGTTTTCACTTGAAAAATAATTTGAAAATTTAGGTACCAGCTATTATAATATTTAGCTATTATTGTTCATTTGGTTGAGCAATTTTATCCAATGAGCCAAAATAAGTGTTTTTTTTTTTAATTGGTCTTAAAATACAATTCTGCAGCAAAGGCCATCATTAGTTAAAAATAGTTGTTTATAATAGAAGATAAATTTAAAAATTGTGTTTTAAAGATTAAGTACACTTCCATTTTGGCTATAGGTCTTAAGCGTCAAATGTGTTAAAAACATATCATTTGTACCAAAATCAGTAGGACACATGTAGTAATTTTTAAATATACTCAACATAATATATGACCATGGACTTAGACACGGGGGTTATTATTGTCGATGGATCCATGGACATGGCCTTTTTTAGATTTTGAGAGGAGCGATGGTTGTATTAATTTTACAATGGTGCGTGTTTTTTTCCTTCGTCACCTTTAGGGGTAGTGAAAACGATCCGATTTTCTACGTCAAGGGCGAGTGCCGCGAAAACCGGGTGTGCAGAGTGTGCGGCGCACACGGGCCTCAAGGCTTACATACATTTGGGGGGCCTGGACCTAATCTGGAAGAAACACTGAAATTGTCTTAAAACTCAAAACTTAATTAATTACAATAATTTTTTTTTTAAGTTGAAACATTATTGTAGTTGTAGGTATACTATTAATATTAGATTAAGTAATAAATATGTTAAAATAGGATGGTAGGTTTAGAAATAGGTGGGTACCTATCGAGTATTCAAGTGTCAACGTTTTAACTTTTTAAGTACTATCAATTTTTCCATAAGATCTATTTTTATCGCGTCTATGGGTCACTGTTTGTCGAATTGTCGGAAGAACAGGCCGATATCGGAAAACGACGACGGTTGACGAGTGACGAGGTACACAATATTTATAGGTATTTAGTATTGGGAGGCCTCTGAAATCTGTTTAGTCTGTTCAAAAGTGGTAAAATTGTTTACAAGAAAACTTCATGACGAATTCAAATATGTTGTTTTCAGAAGTTTTATCCGATGTCTTGGATAGATAATAATATAATTGACATAAAATAGGTCTATTTTGGAAAAAAAATAACAGAGAAGGGATCGAATAAAATGTCTATTTGATATTGATTTTGTAAAATTCGTTTTCAGTAAACATAGCTAACCAAAATGCCTGAAGTATGCAACTACCGTAAACTTGGGAGTAAATAGTATCAAAAGTCTATGCGCTCGGGTACCTAGCTCAGTATTTGAGCAATCGCCCTGCAAGCAAAATACCAGGGATCGATCCCCGGGCTGGTGGCTTGATTTTTGACGTTATTTCCCTTGGAGATGTTAACAGTACTAACAATATAATGTAACTGGATAATAACTATACCTGGCCATGAACTAGATAAGATAGTACCTATGTCCTGATTCCGACACTCTATCTTAATGCAAATAATAAATTAGACTCGCGGATAGGTATAATGGTATGTTTTGTACGATAAGATTTATTTTTTGCTTAGATATCTCATTTAGTTGCTCATGTCTTCCACAGCTCATTTTTAAATGTTTAAGTATTTTAAATATTTTTCTGTACCCACTACCCACTGTACTAATATATATTATAAATTACAATAGTGTTCTTATCTTACATTGGTATTTCAATGAATATTCTATAATAGTATGCAATGTGTAATCAATTGGTTAATTATTATGTTATTGACATGGAGTACCTAAATAAAATAAAATTATTAAAATGATGGTTATTATTTTTTTAATTAAGGGAGACAAATTAGGTAAACCAAAGGCTGGAGGAAATAATACAAAGCCAGGAAATAGCGATCCATCAAAGACTGGAGGAAATAATACAAAGCCAGGAAATAGCGATCCATCAAAGACTGGAGGAAATAATACAAAGCCAGGAAATAGCGATCCTGGAACAAATCCTAACGACGATGACTCGACGGAAGCTAATCCACCAAAAACCATCAAAGAATCGGGTAAAAGAGTTGTAAAAACTTTGAGGAAGATGGCCACCAATCGGGGGGTCGGTTTATTAAATGGTGTTACTGGATTCCTGAAAAAATCCGGTGGTGTATTCAACTTTTTTGGAAATTTCTTACGAGACCGGTCAAGCAAAGTGAAGGACGTGGCTAAGCAAAGTTTAGGGATGGTAGGAAGTTTCAGTGACAGTTCAGCAAGAGGAGCGTCACATTTACTCAACAGTGGTAAGACTATCGCTACACAGGGTGGAAAAGAATTATATTCCGCGTTGCAAAAAGTGACTAAGTTGGGTACGAATGTAACGAAACTTGGAGGAACTGTTGCGAGCACACCGCTATCTATAGCCGAAGACGTAGTGGGCACCGCCAACCGGTTTGCTAGAATTCCAAGTAAATTGTCGAAAACGGTTACTAACAGCGCAATAAAACCGATTTTAAGTTATTTGGGATCAAACAGCGACGAACAACCCGATAAAGAAGAAAATGGAGAAGAAGAACCCGCCGCTACCCCAAGAAGCAAAGAAAACAACAGCGACGCATCCCCAAGCAAAGAAAGCAGAGAAACCTAAAAAACTAACAACATAACCTGACAGATAATAACTATACTGTATTGATATTTGTAAAAATTATATGGATATGATGATATAATATTAAAAGAGTATTACCGTTTAATTGGACAGCGAGCAAGTTAAAAGGGAATAGGCAACTCGAAATCGTTACCTACTTTTTAAGAGGTGAAAAAGAAATTTTCATTTCTGTACTACTGTTGACTGTATTGGCTGTAAAGACTTTTCAATTTTTTATTCAAAATAATTAAATTCCAAAAATCAAATATTTTGGTTATGAAATCTACGCAGAACATTTTATTTTACGTGATTCCATAACAATTTAAGTGTACTCATTCCCTTTTATACGCTCACTGTTCAATAATAATTTTAGTGTTGAAATAAATATTATAATCTTGTAATGACTATGGCTTATAACTTATTTGTTACATAGGTAAAGGTAGTTAACTACCTATAACTCTCTGTCACGGCTATACATCTATAATAGACGTGTTTTCTAAACTTTTGAGACTCTTAACAGTGTCATGTTTTGAATCGGCTAACAAATTAAATACAATACTTACAATTTTGTATTTAATGATTTGACATTGTGCAAAATCAAGTTATTATCATTTATCACCAACATAAAGTGTTTCTGTCTGTGTATGTCTTTATGATTCTAGCAAAATCAAAGAAGAGGTGAAAAAAATATATTGTAATTATTTATCAAAGAAACATTTGTTTTTGAACATTACTATATTTTCATTATACAATTTGGTGATGTATTTACTTAATTTGGTTAGAGTGAAAAATGAACATAATAAAATAAATAAACTATTAACACAATATTTCGACAAATAGTTATCGTGATCTTAATGATAGTCTTGCTTTGTCCATTATATCTTTTTTCAACTTAACTTGGTCCGGACTTGAAGGGTTTAAATCAAAACATATTTCAACAGATTTTGTGAATAGTTTTAATTTATACAAATTTACAGCTAACTTGTAACCAATTTTAAAATACTTTTGTCCACTTAACGCCCAAGCACGTTCATAATAATCCACAGCATCATCTAAATTTAAGCAAAATATTTTAACAATTTAAATGTGCTTATAATTACAATATATACGAATATACCATATTTCTGTTCTTTTTCTGCCACAGCACTTAAAAGTTCTAAACCTTTGATTGACGATTTATTATAGACGAGAACTTTATTAACCAATTCCACACATATATTGGTCTTTCCGGACTGAAAATATAATTCTGCCATGAGTAACCAACTGCGTTCTAAATATTCAGCTTCTTCAAATTGCCAGGTAGCTTTCAATGCAACTCTTTTTAAAATTGTCTTAGCTCTTTGTGCTTGTTTTTGATAAACAAAAGCCATTGCCAACCCTAGCGAAGCAGCAATTCTGCAAGTACAATACATTTTTATAAACATTTTGTGAAGATAGTTTCAGGGCATTAAATAATTGAACATTGTATTACTTGCACGATTCCTGTGATAATTCATTAAAAACATTTATAGCTTTTTCTATAGATAATTTTTCTTTGGACTCTAATAATACATAAGCAGACAACAACGTATGATTTTTTTGTTCTTCTGGTGTATTAGGTTTTATCTCCTGGAAATAAATATATTTATAACATTTTAATATTGTATAACTGCTCATATTATACTGTTGTTCATACTGCTATCAGCTTATTGGCCAAGTTTAAATTTAATGTGGCTTCATCCAAACAAATCTGAACCATGTTGTGCAGTGCTTGCTGTCCCCATTCAGCATCGTTTTTGGCCAAATTGAAATGCTTCATTGCATCATTGATGTTTGACGCATACCAGTAATATAAGCCACAACAGAAATGAAATCCAGGTTGAGCAGTATTCTTGTGTGCTACTGCCATAGATGACTTTACTTCTTCCAAACAATCAGTTCTACGACAAACTTCTATCAGCCGAGCTAATGCTGCCCAATTGGTGGGTTGCTTTTCCAAAAGTTTATAAAAATGTTTTTTAGCTGTTACAAAATCACATCGTCTAAATGACAAGTCAGCTACGATCAACAGTGCTAAATCGTTGCTTGTATCTTTGAGCAGTGAAGAACATATCATTTCACATGAATTCCAATCATTCATCTGCAGAATAAAGAAAGAAATTGTTTTTAATTTGAATTATATAATTATTTTAGATAAAGCAGAAAGCTAGTTAATATAATATATAATATATTTCTAATTTAAACTTACCTGCATATACAACTTGGCTAAACTTATCTTTAATGAACTTGCATCATCACTGTCTACAACTACATACACAAGCGCTTGTTTGTATAAAGAAACTGCGAGATCATTTCGATTTAACTTATGAGCAATCTCACCACTATGTTTCAATATATTTAATCTGGTGTTCAACTCTTGGTTTTCTAAGTAAGAACACTGTTTTAACAAATCAAGTGCTTCATCTAATTTACCTTTTTTTTCCAAAGCCTGTAAACACATGTATTATACATAATTAAAAAACATAATATGCATAACATCGAAAACCAGTAACTATACAATAAAATCTCAATTAATAAACTACACAAAAAATGAAAGTTTTTTGAACACTGAAATTTTATTAATAAAATGGATTAATAATAGATACTCAATATTTTATTTTTTCTAATGAACACTACGTAGGTACATTCCTCAATGTTTTTAATAAATAGGTATTAAGCATTATTTATGTTATGAAGCTAAGTTATAGGGAATTAAAATTAAAAATAATTATTATATCGGGTTTTGATAAGTTGTTTTTATTTCATAATTCATGAATAAAGAATAGTCTGTGAAATATTAAAATATAATTTTTCTTTATAGTTTGATGCGATGGCAAACAATCTATAATCACCCTAACATATTGACTGCTAATAGGAGATTTCACTGTATTTTAATAACAATAGTTTAAAAAAACATACATTAGCCATGGGAACAACTTTAACTTCTAATGGGAGTGGATTTAAAACTTTAATTGCCATATCACACTGATTCAATTTGATCAAAAGACTTGCCATCTCCAACGCACCATCATTACCTATGATAACCAAAACAAAATATATTTTAAATGCATGCATACTTAAATAATTTAATTTAATTTAAATATTTGAGTTTAAACTTTTAAAGTACCTGATTTATTATAGTATTTGATGGCTTCATCATATTGATGTGCTGAAACTAATACTTGAGCTACTTTTAAGAACAATGATGGTTCATTCTTTAAACTCAATGCATTCTTAATCACTCTAATAGCCTTGTCAGGTTCCTATTACATTAGGTTTTATTTTTATTTTTATAATTACAACAAACAAAACAATAGTATAAATACTAATTTACATTTTTTTTAATGAATTACCAAACACAAGTGGTATAATAATACATAAGTAATATTATGAAAGCAACGCATGAATCAAATAAGATCCCGTATCTTAAATCAAATATAGTGAAAATATCTTTATAATTACTTGGATTTTTAAATATGCATTTGCCAATTCAATCATATTATCAACAGTGGGAAAAGAATCAACTAAGTTTTTAAAGCATTCGGCATATTCAAATGGATCTTGATTTGTCTTCATAACAATATCGGCTTTCAGTTTTTGGGCCTAATTTTGAAATAATTTAATTAAAGGAAGGCAAAAATGTATTATGAGTAAACAGACTAAGCCTTTTGGATATAAACACAAGTGTACACACTACACATAATTAAATTTACATTATCACATTTACACACTAATATATATAAATAAATATATAATACATGATACATGGCAATTTATAGGTACAATAAATTATTTTAGTTTCATAAAATAATATACTTGAATATAAACTTAAAAACATACTTTAATAAAAACATCTTGATCATATTTTATGGAATTTATTAATTTTTAAAGCACTTTTAGCATCATTTTTGGATATGGAAATTTTTGCTTCTGCTATTTTAATTTCTCCTTCATGATTTGTATCTTTTAAGTATTCATAAGCATTATTCACAATTTTTGTTGCTTTATCGATTTTGTTTTCTATACAATAGCATTCACTTAGTGTAATAAACAAAGAAGTTAAATTGTTATGTTCAAGTGCATGTTCGTCTAAAATATAAAATAGTTTACAGTTGATTTTATTCATCATCTTAGTACCCAGCTCTAGTTAGATATATTACTTGACAAGTTATTCAGAGAATTTTCTAAAGATTGAATGCAATCATTATTCCTTTCAAAATGTTTATGAACAAGTCCATTTAATAGATTATATAAAGGCCACTCGCTAATCGATAAGTTATAGCTAAGACCTAAATCCAAGCTTTTAGAAGCATTTGCAAAGTGACCCTTAAGAAAAAAAATATATTTTAACAATTTGTTTTTGACATTTTTAGGTACTAAATACACACACACAATATAATATCCAAAAATAAAAATGTACCTGTTGTATCAACAGATTAGCAATCATAAGATGTGCCTCTGAGTTTGTAGGATCTAGTTCTAATACTTTTTCTAGTGATTTATGAGCTTTTTTTATGTTTTGAATATTTCCAAGCATTAACCAACAATCAATAAGTCCAGGACAAACATTTAAAATCTTTTCTAAGGCAATTTCCTTATAAATACGATCAGACAAGTGTTTCAAAAAGGTCATTATCATATTTGGATTAAGTTTTATCAAATATTCTGGGCCAAATGGCAAGTGAATGATAGAATCAAATTGCTTCTCAACTGCTAATTTTATTAAGGTTGATTTCACTTCATTATTTTTTGAGGAATATGCATTTATGAAGATAAGTTCACTTGATTTCAATTCTCCTCTAATTTCATTTAACAATTCAATTTGTTTTTCAACCTAAAAATAACATACAAGTATTTTTTTTTTTAACCATGATAAACTGTTTTAAAATATAGAAAACATTTACTTCAACATTTATGTCATTCAATTCAATCTGACACAAAATTATCCCTTCCATTGCTTTAGGAATAGGTTCTACACTAGATAAATCACTATACAGTTGTATTGCTTCCTTATATTGTCCAGATAAATATATTTGATAGGCAAGTTCTAGCTTATTATTGACACTTGGTTCCAAATCTATAGCCATTTGCATTGCACGAATACACTCATTTATAATGGTTTTATGTTGACCAGAAGTTCGAGATATGGCTGAAGACCATTGGACAAATAAATTTGGGCTTGGCTCAGATTTTTCAATGGTTTTGAAAAACTCGTTAGGTATTTCTTCATATTTCCCAGCAACAGCTATGTTATATAAAATTTTTGCCTGGAAATAATTAAAAGTAGTTATATAAACTGTATTAGTATCATTACAAATAAAATAGAAGGTATTAAGTTATATATTGTTACTAAAGTGTGTTAAATATTTTAACCAACCATTATAGCTAATAGGCAGTCTGAATTTATGCCTAATATACGATCAGCAGTTTCAACAACATCAGACCATTTTTGTACACTCATATAAAGATTTAACTTCTCAATAAAGGATGGTAAAAAGTCAGGTAATTTAACAATAAGTTGATTTAAAATCTGAATAGCTTCAGTAATTTCTAAAGTTGCAGCTTCGCCAAGATAAGCTCCAATTGAATCATTGTTCTAAAATATTAAAATATTAATATTAATAAATGGTTATTAAATATTACCTGCATTGAGAAGAACAACTCACTTGTGATTGAACGGCTTTAAAGCAGTTTCTAGCGCTTTTAAGATTGTTGTCTTTAAATTCCAACCAACCTTTAATTAAATAACCATCAACTGAACTTGGAAACTTGGATAAAAGCTGGTCAACATACATTTTAGATTTTTCAAGACAATCACATAGCATCATAACATTTGCAGCATGAAACAATACAGTTTCTGAAGGACTGCATTCTGTGACGGTTAATTCTAACATGTTTATTGTGTTGGTATCAGGAACCTATAGCATAAAAAAAGATGTTATAATATAACTAATAAAGTTAATGATTTAAATATGAAGTAATTTAAAAATATAAATACTTCAAATTGTTTATGGGCATGGATCATAACTAGCATAGAAGCTAATCCAAAGTCAGTACTTTTGACTAAAGCATCAAGTATGGTCAGTCCATTTGACAGTTTATTTTGAAGCACAAATGATAGACCATAATAAAGTTGATGAACTGCACTATTTGAATTAATTTGTATAGCTTTGGCTCCAGATAGTTGAGCACTATAGTAATATTTTGTTCTAAGGTAATACTGTATGAGTTCAAAATCCATTTTAGTTTATTTTGGACACATTGGGTACTATTTTAGCACATAAATTACACTTGATAAATCTACAACTATAGTAGTTTAATTATGATGGAATATCTTTATATTATGATCAAAATGATAGTTTGTCTATTGGAGGTAACTTTTTAATGATATTCATTTTTCCATTTGGATATAGTTTCAAACTTTTTACCAGGAAGGGACAGTATATGGCTGTTTGTATATTATGTTTGATCAAGTAGTCAATTACTTCCTAAAAAAAAAGAAAGAGAGAGCATTAAAAATGAATTTCAGACACTGTTATTATTATTTGGCAGTGAGAACATCATATCAATATTTAAAAATATCAATGAGCAAAAGATAAAAGTACAAATATAAATACATACACAAATATCATAATTAGTGTCAATCAAACCAACACCCAGTATCCAATGTATAGAATATTTTATTTATTAATATAAAAAATATTGTATGCACTTCATTTTGTCCATATTATTTCAACTATAGGTATATTGGTATATACATAAAGAGCAGTACTGCAGTATAACTTTGACGTTTCTATTTTTATTAAACACATTATAGCAAAAACACTTTTTGCCTTTCTTATTTTGTAGCGAAACTGTTCAAATTAAGTAAAAATACTTATGACAACATTTACTAAGAACGTAGGTATTAATAAAGTGCTGTATGAACGTTTTTTATAAATAGTTACAAAATATGAATGATAATAATAAGTTATTATGCTACCTACTCTAAACATTCTTGCTCTAAAATTAGTAATGCAAATAATGGTTTTACTTTATTCCATAGATTGTATGTGCTTAAATTCCTTTAAGTTTAAAAATTAAATATTTATCACGCTGTGTTTTCTATTGCAAATAAAAGTTGCTTGTCTTGCTTTTTAACTTTTCTCACAAACTTAACCCATGGCTATTCATTGAACGTTAATTATCCGTTAAACTGTTGACATGGCCAGGAAGGCGCTAAAGGGACTGCCTATCACCGCAATTTCAGACAAATTAAAAATGCCTTCAGTGTTTTGTGAACGCAAGAATAAGAATAAAATATGTAGTTATAAATTAAAATAGTGATTTGTATGAAAGTTGCTGTAAGTCATAAATGTCATATACTCATGGGTCATAATATAATGTTATATACCCATGATACCTACTAACCAAACTTATGAAGGATCCTAGTTAAGCTTCTACTATATAACAAATTGACAGTCTCCTTCAAAAAAATCCTGGCTACACCACTGTGTAGGCTATATTTAACAGTTGTATTGTTCAGTTTGTCCTTCATACCAATGTAAAATAAATAACAAGTTACAACAATTTACTATAATTATTATGCACCATAACCTAACCTGTATATGCTTTTAAATTCAACACCAACAGTACATAGCTTATACATACTTGAAAAATTAAAAATCCAAGTTGATGACCTCTATGTTCTACAGGTACTTCAGTATGATATAAAACAAATAAACCATCAATTATTTTGTATTCAATTTTTATAATAAAATTTCCTGCAAAAATCAAATATATTATCTTCTGTTGGTTAAGTTCATTAAATTAAAAACGCACAAATAATAAAACAATATAAAGTACCTAGGTATAAACTACTATACAATTTTACTTTTATATTTGTAAATGAAAAATAGACATAGGTATTGGAAACTTCAGGCTTAACTAAGCGTAATAGTACTATGTTTAAAAATGTCAATCAACTTACCTTTGGCATGTAAAATTTCGTGCTTGAAAGTCTTATTTTTTACATCATGTACAAGTTTAGTTTTCATAGCATATTGAGTATTTTTGAAAACAAAGCGATTCATGATAATAAGTGCATATACTCAACTCTAAGTGCAAAATACAAACAAATTTGCGAAATGTTGATGTGCGATAAATCAATCTTTTAATAGGTAATAATTAATAATCATTAAGGTTATTACATACATAAATGATAAAAAGTCAACAACTGAGGAACAATGAAATATTTAATTAATAGTTTAAATTATTGAATTGAGCCGTATAAATTTGAAAAGTTATAATTATTTAAAGACCAAAAGGCAAGTCAATTATTTTAATCGATCAATGAATTGATTACTGAGAATCATTTTCCTATTAAAAGTGATAAAAATGTAAAAAGTCATTGCCAATTCCGTCGTAAATCATACTGTATAATAATATGCTACGTAAGTTACTTTAGTCAATACCATGAAGGCATGCACTAAGATATCTTGAGCATAGTTAATACCTGCACAGAAAGTCAGAACTCGCTACTCGACAGTCATATTTTAAAACGGATTCTGTATTTCTGTTGAGTATATAGATAATCTGATAAGTGATAATACCATAGAATATAGAATTTTATGAAGGTCATTGTTATCATGTCTTATCATCAATATTTATTATTTTTTATTTTATATTTACATAAATATTATATGATTATTTACTATGTAGATTGGAAGCTACAGAAGAATAATATTATGTAGTAGTAATTAAATTATATTATGTAGCAATAGTAGTGGTATTAAATAGTAGCATTGTCTCGTGCTGTAACTTTTTAACTTTACTGCTATAAAAAATATGACTGTACTATAAAATATTAAAACTCTTCATTTAGTTACAGCATATGACAATATAGAGTACATCAATAAAGATTGTAGGTGAATTATTGTTTAAAATATATTTTACATAGTACCTATATTATTGGTCCTACTTTTATTTTTTTTTTCCAGTTATTTACTTCTAAGACTAGACACTTGTGGATATTGTCCACATCATGTTAGTTCTAATCACAGCAATAGTTTGCAGTTTTATTAGCCATATACATAGTGAAGGCCAGTGTAATGGTTTGTACAGTGACTATTCTCATCATTTATCATCTAAAACTCCGTACCGATATGTAGCCAACTATAACACAGAACCAATCAACTTCGAAGGTAATTAGGCATTTTGCTTGTTCAATAATTGATATACTTACAATTTATAAATATTTTATTATAGTTTATGATGTAATACATGTATTGTATATTTAACGTAGGTAAGTCATAAGTAGGGCCCGGATTTAAATGCACTTAAAACTATACAGATATGCTCTAAAAAATAGTCAAAAATGCCCTTAAAAAATGCATTTTACCACAAAAATGACCTTAAAAATGCCATATATTTTTTTTATATACAAATTGTAATTTATAAATGAGACATAATAATTATTTTATTAAAAAAAAACTGAAAATTTTAAATATTGACTGATATGATGTCGACATGCATGTTTTGGCCGTTTTAGAGGAAATATTATTCATTCTAAACATCTACAGTCAATAATAGATTAAGATAAGATAAAAAATAAATCGAAAAAAAAAATGACAATTTGTCATTCGGGAAAAACCCGATAAACCTTCTTAAATATCAAGAAAATAATTTATCTTTAGATATTTTTTTGAATATTCCAAGTTTTATATCTATTTTGAACAAATATGCATTAAAAACCAACAAAATGACCCAATAATGCTAAAAATGCTCTAAAAATGAAAAAACGTCGAAATATGCAAAAAAATGCAAAATAAAATTTGTAGCTTTCAAACCCTCGTTACATGGAACGAATTATGTACTTAGAAAGCATTGTATATGATCAACCAAAAAAATATGCACTTTGCATTGAAATCCGGGCCCTAGTCATAAGTGTTTGTCAACAATTTTGTTTAATTTTATTTTTACTCTAAGGTTGTAAGGCATGGAAAATTTGGCTAGTTCAAAGACATGGTACAAGGACACCTGGTAAAGAATTAGATCAGTTCGTCAAAAACAGATTACCAGAAATTCAAAAAGACATTGTAAACAATTTGATTGAGTGTAGGTATATAATTTAATTTTTAACATATTTAGTACCAAGTACCAAGATGAAATTGATTTGTAATATACCTATCTATTAAGAGGACACTGTACCCGCATGTATTGACTTCATCTTACTATAGCACATCATATAGGCATCAAATTGTAGGTTAAGAAAAATCCATTTATCTGTTTTTTTTAACATTTGAGTGAATTGACCTAATATCAAATTTAAATTATCAAGGCCATCTCATAAGCCATTTTAAAACTTATTACATAAATTAAATTATCAAAACAAAGTATTCTTACATTTAAATTTAATATTAAGTCAATTAATTTTAATATAAAAAATTACAGAGTAAAATGGATTTTTCTTAACATAAAATATTATGTTATGTGTTAGTAGGACAGAATTAACACATGTGGCTATAATGTTTTCTTTATATAATTTTTATTTAATTTTTTTATAATGATCTTTATTCAAAATCTACAACTAGGCCATCAGCTCAACATGCATTAGTACATATTTTACTTTTGCTGTGTAAATTGTATTTTTACAATGTATCATAAAAGTCAAAGTATAATGCACTAAACATAATAACTTCTACATATTTTATGAATTAATCTTTATTTTTTGGTTGCACAACACAATGCACATAACTTTTGGTATATTTTTAAATTTTAAACTAAAAGATTAGATTATTCTATAGTTTTTTTTTTTTTTTTTAATTGATCCTGAGCCCGGCAACTGTGGCCATTAGCTATTAGTAGGTACTGTAGGTTTTTGTATTGATGGTTTGTAGGTTTTTGGAACGGTAGGGGGAACACGTGTGTGTTTGTTTTGGCAGAATTTTGAATGGGGCACCCGTAGGTTTCTGCCATGCCCCGGGGGTGGGGGATGGCAGCACTTGCTCTCCGGTCACCGCGACTTGTCCGGAGAAAAATGCCGCCCGGTGGCCGAGGATCGAACCGCGACCGGCTGCGTCGCAACGGAAGAGTCAGACCACTCGGTCACCTCGTCCCCCATTTTATAGTTTGTAGTGTTTGTACCTATGCATATAGCCTTAATAGAAAATTACATTAACTTGATCATGCAATTTAGTGTAGTAAGTAATAGGTACCTATATAGTAAAATTGAATTGTGATTTTATTCAGGCAAACTATGCAATGAAGATGAAATAAAATCATGGACTTCTCATGAAGAAATAGATGATCAAAAGCGATTAACCAGAGAAGGAGAAGATGAACTTTTAGCAATTGCCGAACGTATGCAACTTAGATTTCCTAATTTATTAAATCAACCATATGAAAATACAAACTTTTTGGTAAAATGTTACTAATAATAGCCATATATATTTATTTTGGAATTTTTTATTAATTTTGTTTTTATAGTTTAGGTTTACTGATACTCAAAGGACTAGAGTAAGTGCTAAACAATTTGCAACTGGATTATTTGGACGAAATGACGTTAAGAAAGTATTATTTGATGAACCATTAGCTAAAGACCCATTATTAAGGGTAAGTAAATTATAATATTATTTTCTACATGCTTTTAAAGTTAAAATTAAAGTATATTTCCTGGGCCTCCACAGGAGTTATCTCAGTGAGGCCCAGTAATCTGTAAAAAAATTTTTAATCAAAATACAAATACAAATTAAAGTTAAATGTATAAATCATAATATGTCATAACATACTGAATATAGTGCCCAACCAATTTCTTATTCAAATTACCTTAAGTTATAACTACACATTTTGACAAGTTATTTTGATTGTTGTTTTAGTTAATATTATATGATACAATATTATAGTATCACTGTTATTGATAAATGTCTATCTTATAAAAATAAACTGTCTAATAATATGTGTATTTAATTATTTTTAGTTTTATAAAGTTTGCCAAAAATGGAGAAAAGATGTTAAAAAATCATCTTCAGCATCAGCTGAATACCAAAAATTTGTCGAATCTCAATTAACTAGAGTTACTTTAAAAAATTTATCTTCAAGACTTGGACTTGATTACACGTTAACATTTAGTTAGTATATATAATCATTAGTTCCATTGCTTATGGAAATAAAATAAACGTAATTATTTATTTAAGAGGATGCCAAGAATATATATACATACTGTGCTTTTGAAACTGCTTGGGAGAAAAATAAAGTTTCACCATGGTGTTCAATTTTTAATAAATCTGATTTAATGGTAATTTATTTTAAATATATAATTATAATTCGTTTCTGTTTCAGTACTATACGGTAGGGGTGTCCAACCTTTGGCAGTAGATCTTAATGCAGTCTCAATTTCTCCATGTCAATTTTGACATGAAAAAATAAATTATAATAAAAATATAAAACTAAAAACATATTAATAATAAAATAAACCTTGAATTAATATAGTAGTTTGTGAATGTGTTATCAATGTTAACAGTATTGTATTGCTATATCAATAGCATTAATTTTTGATGCAGGTTTCAAAGTTCAAACAATTACTTCCTTATGACTGAAACTTAAATTATGGCTAAGTTCAGTGGAATGATTTTAAACTTTTCCGTGTATTTGTTAAACACTATTCTAAGAATAGTAAGAAATATTTTGCATCTTTTATTGATAAGTTCAAGCACTAATTTCAAGAATTTTGAAAGAATAGTTTGAGTTTTGCTATTTTTGCAACGCCATTTTTGGTTGATATTACTGTTGTAGAAACCAAAATTTAAATGTAATTTATTAGGTGAAAATTGGATGTTTAATTCAAATAAATATAGAATTAGTTATCTTTAAATGGTTTTCATAAATTATATCTACCTGAAGAAACATCATCCACAACCACACATTATTCATATCGCTTTTTGACACTGTTTTTATATTTTGTTAATAATTGTTTTAAAGAATGAACATTTCAAAAGTAAGAATTGGTTCACTATTTCAGACTATCACCTCAAAAGTTATTGTATTGAGACAACTTCTATGATCCGGATATTGCTTCACTACATTTACAAAAATGCAATTTAAAATTTCATATTAGTTTTTTGTTATTTAAAAATGTTTTTCTTCTCTTCATTGTGAATAAATGTATTCTCCTTCCCCACCTTGTAATTTTAAATAAAATGTAATATCGTAAAAATATACGTGGCTAATATCTACTCACTCAATGTGGCCTAGACTTTCCAAAAGGTTTGAACACTCTTAGTATAGACCTACTGAATGATTATTTTCTCTGTTCAAATAATTATGCATGTAATGATGGTTGTAATTTGTAGCTTTTCGAGTACAGTGAAGATTTGAAGCATTATTTGATTGATGGTTATGCTTATGAGTTATCATACAAACAAGCTTGTGTCTTATTAAAAAATGCAATTGAATATTTCGAGTAAGCATTTTTTACATCTAGTAATTGAAATATTTGTAATCTAATTAATTTAATTTGTGCTTATAGCGATCAAGATTTAAATAGCAAGAATGGTATTTTCTATTTTACCCATTCAGGTACAATTTTGAAAATGCTCGGATTGTTAGGTCTTTATAAAGATGAACATAAATTAAAACATGACAATTATTTTGAAATGGAGAATCGGCAATGGAGGACTTCAAAAATTGATCCTTTTGGTTCAAATATTGCATTTGTTCTTTACAAGTACTGAATTTATAAATTTATTGGATTTATGATGGGTGAAAATATTATGTTTAATATACCATTGTAATCTTGTTAATTGTAGGTGTAATAATAATGAAACTAAGATACTAACATTACACCAAGAAAGAATCGTCCATCTTAATGGTTGCAAAGATGGCCTTTGTTCATATAACAAATTTAAACAACTGTTTTCAACGGAACTTCAAAACTGTAATTTTGATGAAATGTGTAATATTGACTAAATTGTTTAATATTTAAACTTACAAATATTATTTTACATAGGTATGTACCAATTATTATTTTTTAGTTGCTATAGGTTATTTTTATATTATTAACTATATCACAACAAAATTATATTACCAAGTGTTTTGTTGGGGTACAAAGATTTGAAGAAAAATGTTTACAATTTTATTTTTTGTATTTTTTTCTGAATTATTCTTGTACTCTGCTTTAGTTGCAATTGAAATGTACTGAAAATATATCATAATTATTTTTAATTACAATACAAATTATCTCTCCGTAGTGGTGTAACAGCAAACCCACAACTCTGTGTCATAATTTTATATTTTAAATGCTTAAGAAATTTATCATAAAATGGACTCTAAATGGTACAAAAAGTGAAAAGTTGCGTCCAAAGTGGTAATCTGTCAAAATATCTAAATTTATCAGTTTTTCCAAAAATGAGTGCATTACTCTATACTTTGAAATAAAATTATCTCAAATATCAAATTATTTAATTAACTTATTACAGTAGCAATATTATCACAAAATATTCCGGTTCCTATATATTTCTATATTTATTGTTGTTCAAGCTTTAATAATAATTTTAAAAAAATGTACAATATAAATAACAAAATAATATTAACAAAAGCTCGGCTTATGGATTGATGCGCTGTAAACATACACGCGGAAAAATACATAGTTAAAATTTAATAATATATAATAATAATGGTATTTCAATCTGGAAATTTCATGAGACTATGCCATAATATTACTTATCGTATCGTTTATCGGACAACTGTAAGTGACTATAATGATTTTATCGGATTATTATTTATTACATTTTGTTATTTGATTTTTTTAATATTGATTTCGGGGAATCACAAGCATTCAATAATTTGGACATTGATTGCCAAGATACGGCATGAAAATGCAGCAGACAAAACATAAAGCCGCACAGAGTCAACTAGGTATTATTGAACCACCATTGAAAAGTAAAAGAAAAGATAAATTAAAACATCTTTGTGAAGAATACAATGAAGGCAGTAGTGACATTCCAAATTGTTTAAATGCTATTGATGATTTTATTAGAAAGTAAAATACAATTTTAAACGTTTTTTTAAATTTTTAGAAAATAATGTATAGTTATTTTTTCAACAATAAACGTAATTTGGATATATTGACCGTTGGATATTTTGGTTAGGATATTTTGACCTAGATTCGTCCAAAGCATGTACCGAATATACCCAAGTCAATAATCAACTTTTAAAGTATTTTATTAGATGAAAAGAAGTCTCTCTTCGGTGCTCTTCAGTGTGGTTATAACTTTATTTATCTGGAGTACTGTTTGGAACTGTGATTCTGAAATCTGGTTTATGTTTTTGGGGGTAGTTGTGTTCATGGATATTTTCAATGGGAGGAGTACATATCAAATTTTGTATACATCTATAGTCTATACTGTACATACAGTAATTAAATTACAAATGGGTGGGGGAGGGCCAATCCCCCATATCTGTGTGTACGCCGCTGTCGGGGAATGGAAAATCTTACAGCAAATTTGTAGCAAAAATGCCAAAGCAGACTATATAATAATTATTATAATACAATTGGAACATTGTTTATTTACTGTTCCTAATAAAGTCAAGACAGTAGGTAATTTATAAAAATACGTATTTATAATAAAATTGTTTATTTAATAAATTCATGTTCAATTAAATGATCAAAACTTTTTTCAGAAAAAATTGTATTTTGCATAACTTAATAGTAGGTAGGTATCTACCTAATGTAAGATAAAGGGTAATCGGTAAAAAAGATCAAGGAAAAAAAGAACACGGAAAAAAAGAACAAGTAAAAAAGAACACGGAAAAAAAGAACAAAGGAAAAAGAGAACAATTTTTAAAAATTTTAAAGTGTCCCACTAATCAATATTTTTTTTTAAAAAAATTTTAATATAATGCATAGACACTTATGCTATATTTTTGGTATTATTATTTATTATTATTATTATTTATTATAAAAAAATACGAAACATAAATTTTTGATTTAGAACGTTCATCGAACTCGGAGACACATCGAGCATAAATCTCGACTGGATTTGTACAGGATGTCTTAGCCATTAATTTCATTTTTGATACTGCTTTCATAACATTTACTTCGGATTGGTTCGCAGGATGATTGTGTTCTATTGTCACGGTAGGATCAGTTTTCAAAATACTAGTCCTTAATATTCCAGCACAATTTGTCGTATTTTTAGTCGAACATTTCCATGTAAAATAGTTTTTACCTTTGTGTTTTGTGATATAAGTATATCCTTCAAAAGCTACTTTTCACCTCCTTTATTATATTTAAAAATTTCCATTTCAAATGTATTTAAAAAATTGAAGTATAGAAATTTAATGAAAACACTTGAACACTTCAATGACTGTCAATAGACTAAAATATGTTCACTCAAATTATAGCTCTTAAGTATGAAAAGTCTACATGGGAAATTTCCAGTAGTAAAATGTTATTTTATATTTTACCACTATTTAGTTATATTTTATGATAAAGTATGAAAAGGTCACCTATAGTCAACTATAAGGGCACTAGGATTACTTAGGGCATTTCCAGTAATAAAAATGCATCTTACTCTATATTATTATACTAACCTTTATTGTATTTATGTTTCGTATTTTTTTTATAATAAATAATAATAATAATAATAATAAATAATACCAAAAATATAGCATAAGTGTCTATGCATTATATTAAAATTTTTTTTTAAAAAAATATTGATTAGTGGGACACTGTTTAAAATTTTTAAAAATTGTTTTTTTTCCGTGTTCTTTTTTACTTGTTCTTTTTTTCCGTGTTCTTTTTTTCCTTGGTCTTTTTTCCTAGATTCAAGATAAAGACCTGACAGTGTGTCTTCCTCATTGAGTAAGAATGTTATTATAAAGAACCGTTTGTTGCTGCCAATTCAGATAGTCAGATAGATACATAATTATAAAACCACACCGGGTACTTATGTTAGGTATTATTCCCAGTTTCAGCCAAAGGCGTTTTGCTCTAACAACGAGTCATTTAAACATGGCGTTCGAAATGAAATAAAATATTCACGAAAGCAGAAGGAATTAGTGACCATCATAGTCACTCATCTTTGTAAATAATTGTCAAGTTAAATAATTGTCTACTGATGCATCTTGACCTGAGTTATTTATTCCTTTGACATTTCGTAAAGTTTTGAGGTCGTCGAGTGCGGACCTTTCTACAGACCTGAGACCCGTCAACTCCTGTCCTTTAATTACACACGAAAATGGGGATGTGATGAATTCATGGTTGGCATTGGGTACTTAATAGAAGACATACAATACGGGTCAGAGCACGTTGTTTGGATATTTGAACATTGTATTATATTGTTCTCTTCAATTAGTTCAATTTAATATTGTTATTTAATTTTAAACGAAAATACATAAAAGATAATAATTAATAGGTAGGGACGTACCTCCTCTATTATGTAGAATTGTATATACCTAATTTATTTTCAAATGCTTGTGAAGGTAATTAAAATTGTTATCGCGTTATAAAGTGTTTTATATTGTACATGCTAGGACGAAAAATCTATTGGCATTTTACGATAGGTTGGTAATAATATTGTTAGTTGTTACCTACCAACCTTTCATCGGTCGCGAAAGTTTAAGGATTATATTATTTTTAAAAATATTTAAATTTAGGTAGGTAACACACAGTAGACACTTATTTTTGGATTGAACATGTGACATTGATATAGGCATAAGAACTATGGCAATTACATTGACGGTGGCGTCATTTGGAGAGGGTGGCATTTGCCCCTGTCTAATATTTACATCAAACTCAAGACGGTACATTTAAATAGCAAAAAGTCTTGTTTATTACTTCTCAGACTATTGTCATAATATTGATATTTTATAAATAAAGTAGGTATGCACAAAATGTGTAATTACTTTATCTATTTATACTTAATATATTAATTAAATACCTGCCGGCTGCCGCAGTGTCCAAGTAAGGTCAGTTGCCAGTTGGTACCTATTTAGCGCTCACACTTCGATTTCAGGCACATATAGACACTGGCACACTGCAAAGTACGTACTTGGCATAGACTTTCCATATTATAACTGATAAGGTCTATTATGGTATTTTGTGCAAGTGTTGTACTGTTGTAGTCACGATTATAAAGATTATAATCGTGACTGTAGTGTACGACACTTAGATCATATACACTGGGACTGGATAGAGCTATGGTTTAAAATCTTGAAGCATAGCTGTTCGTGCTCGAAGTCATCACTGCGCATGAGCAAAGTTTATGATCTAAGCATTCAGTACCTAATCGTCCTTATCACTATAACACATTATTGTTCCTTCTCCGTCCCGCGCGATCTATTTCATTTCTCACGCATGCGCAATAAGTACTTCGGGCATGAACATGTCTTCTTCAAACACGGACTACTCTTGATATACGCTATAGCTCTATCCAGTGTATATGATCTAAGGTACGACAACTACTGACAGGTAAGAATTATTATAATTTTTATTTTTTAGAATAGTACAAATCACGGTTTAAGATATATCTTATATATAATCTATAATAAGATATATCTTAAACCGTGGCACAAACTACTACTAAAACTACATTGTTCCAATCATAGACCTTATAGTTTATGCTACGACCTTGGTACAATTTATTAAGGCCTATACTCTATGGATACAATACACACATCAGAATATCAGGTAAAGCGTGGGTAATACCCATTCGTTAAATATAACATAATACCGAATTTAATTATATTATGTAAATAATTATGTTCCATATTTTTAATTCTGGTGAATCATCGGTCGCGAACTCGCGACTCCCGAGTGCCGAGGGGTGACTTGTTGTTGTTCGAAATTACTCAACGAAATTATTTACCATCTACGATATTTTTAAACATTATTTTGTTTTATAAAATTAACTATAAACAATAAACGAAAATATAAACGTATCTACTAAGCCACTAAGGTACCTAAAGTGTTTAATTTTTATCTTATAGATTTAAAGTATAGTTGATTCAACCACGATTGTCGTCAATCAAAGGTACCTATGGCCTATTTATTATTTATTTATACATAACTCAATAGTTTTCCTATTTGACTTTCTATTAAATATTTGACATAATTGTTTGTATATCGAATATATCGAATAGGTAGTAATACGTCAACATCTGATGTGTGACGTTCAAATACTTTAAAATGTAACCCCTTCACCTTCTATGCCACCGAGGTATGTGAATCTATATACGCGAAAAAATGAGTCCCCCCCCCAAAAGGTACATTATGTATAATACATTAATGCCTAGTTGGCACATTAATAGGTACATGAAGTATTTGAGTTGGCACTTTGCAAATTATATTATTTTTTTTTTACCGTTTTTAAATAATTTTGTAAGTATTACAAAGTACAAAATATATGTCATAATAATATATTGTAATTTGTAATAATATGAAGGAATATAAGT